ACTTGTCTCTGTTTTGCAACATTGTCAAAATCTTAGAGTGCGAGTAAATTAATAAATTTTTGCGTTTGTATAACCATGACACTTACTATTATTGCAAAGATCTCCCTCACAACATTGCAAATGTTGGTCATCAAACTGTCTGCATTGATCAGCGGATATACATCCTTGAATGGTGACTTGTTCGTTATCCTCCGTTTTCTTGTCAAATTTGAAACAAAGGTTTTCTGGGAATGAGCAGTTGACTTTGATGGGAACCGATGAATCATTGTTTGGGTTCTGATAACAAATACTGCCTGTGGAAAAATGCAGGATAACTGAGAGGGTAGTCTCCTTATCACGTGGGTGTTTTAGATACAGAATATCTGACAAGGTCACTCCGCTTAGCGAAAGAAAAAGGTATGAGACAAATAATGCCGTTAAAGTAGGTAAGCGGCAGTATTTCAGAGATAATCTGGAAATGAACAAAGGAAACGCGCACAAAAGATGGGGTAACATCGCGCAAATAAGGAAAAAATCGAAACATCGAAAATTATTTCTGCAAACGAACTAGTTGATCCTATCAACAATTGTTTTCACAACTATCAGCCCTGACCTGGCAAGGGAGATACCCAAAACAAATTTCAAACCGTTGTTTTATCTTCGTCTCTTTTCCCTAGCCCCAAACGTCAAAACGATTTGAAAGTTGTTGAGTGAAATATTTGTAAACGAAAGGAAAGCGTACGTTATCGCAAGTGGCCAGTGGTATTGTTTGGCCTTCATTATCAAGCATTAAGAACAGATAGAAACTGGGATTTTCCCAAGCAAATAGAAGGCGGCCAAAGTAACCCCTATCTTTAATAAATTTAGTTAGCCATTCCTATGGCTAACTCGTGGATTAATTATTTTAGGAATAAAAGTTGTTAATGAACCTTGCAATTAGTCTATCGGTGTATTTTAAGTCTGTCAAAAAATGAAAATATGTTTAACAGAAAAAAAACAAAACAAAACAAAACCAAAGAAAACGACCAAAAAAAAGAATTTCTCTAGCGGGAGTCAAGCCTCCTACCTTCGACGTGCAAGGTCAAGGCGTTACCTATTGCGCAACGACAACTTATTTTAAATTAATTAAAATTAATTATCCTTAACATTTTTGCCAATAAAATTCTCCGGTGGACGCTGGTAGAGCTTTATTTATGAGGAACTGAAAAATAAATTCGAGGAAAACAAGCATGGTTTTGACATGCTTTGACGGTAAAAGCCATACTTTAACTCATGGACTTTAGCATCCTCGGAGACCCAGGGGCGGTCAGTCAGGCCGGGAGAAAAGGCGCGACAAAAGTTTTCAAGCACAGGCGGAAAAGCCCCTGGGTACCGACTCTCTCCAGACCATTTCCAAACGGTCAGGAGAATGCTGATTACTGATTGGGCACAAAAAATGCTTTGTATTATTGTGCCCAATCGGCGAACAGCATCTCCTAAGTTATTTTCGTGAGTTCGTACACGACGGCTATTATCTCGCCACAGTTGTCCGGTTCGTTCACCAAGCTTTCCTAACCAGAAACGAAGGAACTGCCGATGAGTCGAAAAACATTTCGGATACTATCGGCAAGAGCAATTTAATTTGCACTGAGAAAGTTATCGTAAATAATAGGAAGTTCAAGATGAAGCGGCGACGGGAAAGTAAAAAAAGTAATAGCTTGACAAGGCAAAACAACAACTTTGCACGTGCATCACGCTCTTTTGAGTATTTCTTTGCCGTCGCTGCACGACTACCCCGTGAAAATACCAAGTTTCACGTTTTGTAAAGGACGTAAACAAGCAATGACAAAATTTTCTTTCTCTTTATGAACTTGGATATGGTTGATAGAAATTCAGCTCAAGAAGAGTTCGCTTGCATTTGACAAAGTAAGTGAGTTGGAATAATCCGATAGAGACTGAAAAAATGTGAGTTCACTCTTCATGCGACGTTTTCGTGGTTGTCAGCTGTCGTGGCATATTAAACTCCCTAATACTTACGAAGGCGTGATCGTTGCAAGCGTGAATACCTGTTGTAAGCTCAAGCTTGTATTTTTGGAAAAGCGTCTTTAGTTTTCTTGTAGACAGTGGTTGCCTTTACACTAGGCTGTTAAGTAAGACTTAAGAGCTGCTAAGTTTTACTTAACCAAAGATGCGTGTGTGAAGGCCTAAGCAAAATCCGCAAGTAACTTTACTTTGCATCTCATTAAAACCGACCTTGCGGTTAAGGCGAAGCATGTCAATCAATCTTAATTACGTTGCGTGGGAAAACCTGAAGAAGCTTTCTTTTATTTGAAGAATTTAAAATTTACTTGTCTTGAAATATTTCTTAGCTTATTTAGGCTCTAGCTCTAGTGTAGAGACTACCAGTATTTTGAAATGTAGCGTTTATATCAAACTGAAAGATTCCTGACTGCGTGCATTTCTTTGGTGCATGAGCCAGACAAGCAGTGATCGAGTCAATAGCCGTCGTGTACGAACTCACGAAAAGAACTCAGGAGATGCTGTTCGCTGATTGGGCACAATAATACAAAGTATTTTTTGTGCCCAATCAGGAAACAGCAATCGCTTGACCGTTTGGAAATGGTCCGGTGAGAGTCGGTACCCAGGGGCTTTTCCGCCTGTGCTTCAAAACGCTTGTCGCGCCTTTTCTCCGGGCCCGACTGACCGCCCCTGGGTCTCCGAGGATGGGACCTTAGATGTCTCGCAAAACCGTCGTGAAGACTCCTGCTGGCGGCATTGTACAGTTTGCAATTCCGCTGCGTTAACCTCAGGAGTACTCAACGACAAAAAATTTGAAAGTGATTGGATATCGCTTCCAGTAATATTTTGACAGTCACCAAGTATTTTTGGGTGATTAGTAACTTCTGTGGGAAAATTATATTCGCTCCCCAAAGCCAGCTAGAGGTAGATGTTAAAATACAATATCCAGCCAGGATCTTTATCTTAAGGGCTTTTCCCAGCTAGGATGTTTACCAAAAAGTCATTTTCCCAGCCAGGAATGTCTATTCCTTCCTTTTTTCACAGCCAAAAATACGTAATTATTAGCCAGCCAGGAAAATTTCTCCAGGAGATAGGAAAAAAATGGAGATAAGTAGTGTTCTGAAACCTTTCCTTTGCCTGTGACCGCGGTTCTCATTTAGAACGCGGGTTTTAATTTCTAATTTCTAATTACCGTGTTGTCTGCGTCATTTCGCTGGCTTTTCAAGCTCAATGGTCCGTAGGAATTAAAAATCTTCAGCTCATTCCAAATGTGAGCGAAGTTGGGAAAATTAAAGAGCTGGTCCGTCACCAGATTTGAATACTAAGACTAAAACTATGAGTCCCTCACAACCTCGTTCCCAGGGTAAGAGAATGTCTGTAAAATACTTTGACTATTAAATTAAGTTCGACGTCCGAAACAACCGTTGAACTTATATCATTTAACAGGTATCAAGTTCGGTACATGAAAAGTTCGACGTTTGAATTGTGCCTATTAACTGTGACTCTTTTCTTCTTCTTTATCCGTCATCATTTCTTCGCGCAAAGCCGTTAAAGATACCTGTGTAGGTCCAAATATGGCTTTCAGTCCTTAACCCGAGTAATGACACTAAACTGATCTGCAATTTACCCGTACCCCTAAACAAAGCGTCGAGTATCGCCGTCTTTTTATATGGGGAAGCATCAGTCCCCCGGGCATTAACTAAACCTTTAGTAGAACTGGATCATATAAAATTTGTATTTACTTATAGTTGAGGCGGCTGGCCTTTCAAAAACATAGTGCAAAAGGTGGTCACATTTATCCGGCTCTTCAATCCTTCCAGCGTCTGTCTTCATTTGTCTACATGTTGAGTTCCTGGTGTTGTCAACCCACACGTACTTAAAAATGGACACAGACAAGAAATTAACAAATCTAGTTCAGTACTAACAAGACCCCCATATTAAATGGGGGTTCATTCAGGTCTGCCGGCTGCTTCGTTTTTAAGTCGGGGATGGATAGGCAAGTTAGCCTTTTGAAATAAGAAATGATTGGCATTAGTTTAGAGTCATTAATTTTGCCCTAAGTGAGAAGTAAATATATTACTGGGGTTTTAAATACTTTTATTTATAATTAAAATCAGTTTTATCTCTGTCGGACATTGCATATAATTAAAGCTTTTGTTACCGATCCAAGTGAATGTGTCAATTTTACGGGCGATTTATAAATTGCACATTCCTTTCTTGCAAGGAGAGAATTGAAGTTTTTCCCGTGGGGACCATGGGAGGAAATTGTTTCTGCAGCTCCCGCGCAGGCTAACAACATCATCGAATACTCTACCAAGATAATCATTCAGGTCGAGCCACTTTAAGGCTATCATTAAGGGTGCTTTAAAACATGAAAACCTGTCAAAAAGTTTTTATAGCCTCGTCACTAATCATGGGGCGTTTGTTATTGTCGCATTATTCGAAAAATGCTGCAAATCACTGCCACCCACCTTTAAAAAAACGGTAGTGCTTTTGTTACGTCTTTCTTAGTAAGCCTAGGTTGACAGACAGTGCACTATCACTAAACATTGCACAATAGAGAGAAGTGTGACTTCACCTTATCATGGAAGCAAAATTCTTGAATCTCAACAATCTTATGGAAGAAAAGCATTGGCCACTTTAGAAAATACCGTAATAATCTTTTTGTCCCCCCAAAAAACATTTTGCATAGTCCCAAGAGAAACTGAAAACAATCGTTATGCAAAATTTTGGGGGGGACAAAACGATTATTATGAAGTTTTCTAAAGTGGCGAATGGGCTACTAACTGTTTTGTTCCTGAGATCAGAACAATCATGCATAGGAGAATATTCAAACAACTCAGCAAGTAAAAACTGTCATATTTGCGCGAACACAAGGTTTGTTGAGATTCAGAAATTTTGCCTCCTTAGCAACGTGACGTAGTAACTTCTCTCTATTCTTTACATAAGAAGAAGATATGAGTAAGCATGTCTTTACGCTTGATTTTAACACCTGGTGTTGCCTGCAGTAAATAACTCGTACTTACACCTATTTCCTCTTTCTTTACAGCAGAAAGTTCCAGGAAACGAATCAAAAATAGGTGCTGATAGTAATTATCTATCTTCACCAGACCTCCTCCGAAGTCAAAACATGCCTTTTGAGCATCTTTCCATGTACTTTTTTTATAAATTTCTTTGTAGCAAGACGATCCACTGAGATGCCAATCGCTAGAACAAGCCAGTGGACCTAATTTAAAGAACAGTTAGTAGTACACTAAACCAAGAAAGTCAATCTGATCGGTGACAAATTGGCGAGAAATTTCAGCGATAATTTTATAATTTCACATGTGAAATTATAAAATTGCCTTGGCAACCTTTCGTACGTCTCAGTGCTAAGATGGCGGCAAAGTTTTTAAATTTTAGAAATGAAGATGTCAGGGCATCAAAAGACGGTTAAGAAAACCTAAACACACGAAAGAGCACATTAAGAAGGATTCTATCAGGATTTGGTCGAAGAAGTCTGAAACTTATAAACTTAAGGAAGATTTTGAGCTCTATTAAGTTTTCAGAGCGTGGATTTCTCGTTCGATAATCTTTTGATAAACATGTAAAAAGCCTACGATTGTGAGCGTAATTCGTCAGTGGGGTCACCCATGATATTAATCAGAGGTAATCAAATGCTATACTCGTGAAGTTAGGTGGTAATTTCCCTCGTCCACATTAGTAGGATTTGGACAAGAGTGTAACACCCGTGAAATTATGGCATTTGATTGACACATACATGTACTAATCCGACAAGAGGGAAAACGTAAGCAGTGAACCAATTAAAACTCAAAGTAACTTTGGCGATAAGTGTAGAAAAAAAAAACGAAAGCAAAACAAGTCCGTAGGGGAGAAGTCACCAAAAAAGATCATAAGGGAACTCGTCCTACCTTTTGGGGGTTAATATTTGATTTGTGGATTGATACCACTTAGTGGCCGGCTCTGATCTAAAATATGAACATATTAGATGTTGCCATAAGAGCTGTTTTGGTACCTTTTAGAAGCCTGTCGAGGTGTCTCGCTGAAAATTATAGGATGTATTTTGGTTACTCAACCGTTTTTTTCCGTACATTACCTCTCAGGAAGGGTTGAAATGAATTTGAACCACACACAGATGCTATATTCTGATATCTTTTAGGGGTGTATTTTGAAAATTTCGACGAGCACCTCCAAATTTTTATAGAGACGAATCCCCCCCCCCCCGGACCAAGTCACAGCTTACCTTTCATCTTTATTTGCCACATNTTTCCGTACATTACCTCTCAGGAAGGGTTGAAATGAATTTGAACCACACACAGATGCTATATTCTGATATCTTTTAGGGGTGTATTTTGAAAATTTCGACGAGCACCTCCAAATTTTTATAGAGACGAATCCCCCCCCCCCGGAACAAGTCAAAGCTTAACTTTCATCTTTATTTGGCACATATGCTCAAAACTGACCATATATATGCAAAACTACAAACTAAAAACTTATCCTTACATCAAGAAGACGGAGAGAATACAGAGATAAAATAAAAAGGAATCTCAAAATCTATTTTTATATATCCTTATATTTGTTTACAGAAGGTCCGGTGCTCCTCACTGGTTTGTAGCTGTAGTTTATGAGATGTTTTTAACTCAAAAACACAACCCCGCCTATCCTTCATTTTTTTCTTATCAAGTGCTTTCTTAGGAACAACTTACCTTTCTCCCTTTCACAGATGAAATATTTCTTTTTCTTGCAACATTCGGTGAGGCTCAAATCATTTCTGAAGATTTCGCCACATTTGTCTTCACGTACAGTAATCTTCATACAGTACCAAAGCGACTCGACGGAAAAAGAACAATTAAAAGGTTCTCCATTGCTCCATAGATATTCATTTTTCTGGAAGTAATAAACCAGCCCAATCCAAGCTGAACTGTCGGTGATCTTGGGAGAAATGCTGCGAACAAAATCCATTTCCTTTTTATTCGCCACACTTACAAGGTATCCTCCAAACCCATAACACACGCTTAAAGCTCTCGACCAACTGAATTCCTGCGAATAACCAAAACTATCCATAACCTTATAGCACGAGTTTTCAAATTCTATCCAGTCTTGAGGACATGTGAGGTGTCGGCCTTATAGAGAAAAGCAATGAAAATTACATAAGAATGGAAGGGACCAACTCCCGGAAGATGTCCATTGAGATGACACTAATTAATAATAATAATAATAATTCAGGTGGCATTTATGTTCAAATGCAAGCTAATGCAGCTGTTTTTTATGAAGCTACAATTAGGACCACAAACAGTAATAATACGTAGAATAAAGTTTCACTGCTATATCAGAACTCTGCCCATAGCATGTAATAAGACTGCAAGAAAGAAACAGAGGACATTACATGGCCACGCAGAGATATGAAATTTCTCTTCGAGTGTTGAAAAAATATTCCACCAGTGAGCACAGCAAACGAGTGAAATATTTTTAACACGAGAGGAGAAATTTTGTATCTCCAAGCGGCCATGTAATTTTCTATTTATTACATAAACGCCGATGAATTGCCAAACCATTTCCCTTAAATACTTTTTTGCTGCGAAAGGCGCGATTTATTATGTAGCCATAGCAACAGTGATCTTTTCGCATCTGAAAATAACGTGTGAAGATATCATGTTTTCGCGCGAAAGCTCACCTGGTATGTCATTGGTGTTTATATAATAAAATAAACTCTTAGAGCCTGTTTACATGGAGGTGGGGGACCCCAGGTAGGTGAGGTAACCCGCTTAGGTGGGGAAACCCGCCTGTCCATATACTTCTCATTTTAATTTGATCACATGATAGGTGGGGTGACCCGCCACATGTTATCTCACCTAACTGGGGTCACCCACCTCCATGTAAACAGGCCCTAACACGTATCTTGTTAAAAACATGCAAGGTTCTTAATTATTACAGCTTTTATCTTCATTGGTTTAGCTTTTGACTATTTTGGGAGACCAGTAGCGGCGAATAGTATCGCAGACGGATCCCATCATTGGGCAATTTTTGTTTTTGTTAGTTCAATAACCACACAGCAGTTCAATAAGTACACAACAGATCAATAACCATACCAGTAGTTCAATGACCACACATTAGTTCATTGAGCGTAAACTACATGTAGCTGCTGGAAAATAGCCACAAATACGTTAGTTATTTTTAATAAGAGTGTATAGCATTAAGTAAGTGGTAAATACTCATTTAGCTATGGTACGAGAACTAAATAGATAAATAGCTATGTTACACTGTTATTAAGTTCTAGTGAGCTCACTAATATAGACAGGAACATAGACTGATGTTAATTTAAAAATTTTTAGTCTGCTCAGAAGGTCTGTCATTCTCATCAGGGGCACAGTGAACAGACCTGGAAAGAGAGTCAGCGCCGAAAAGGGAAAACACCGACTCGGTCCGGAGAAAACTTCAACTAGAAACCCGACAAAGCGCGCGTTGATAAAGCAGAAAAAAAACAGTTAACGATGGATGAAACCTTGTTTTTTTACTCTCTTTCCCCACGTTTCAAACCGTGGTACCACAGCTGGCCCTACGTGCCTGAGTCGACTACCATGCAACAATCCATGTTTAAAAATAGTTATTTTTTACCGTACAAGTCCTGAACTTCTAACTTTCTTGGTTGCTTCAAACTTGAAAGGCCGCTGCTCGTTTCCTGACCATATTTCAAAAATCTGCTTTTGATACGATAATGTCTGTGCAAATATAAGAGATCATAACAATTGCAGGCGATGCCTAGAAAGGTACCAACAGTTTTCTTTCCAAAACGAATTAGAAATAAAGTTTCAAATGCGTCTAACTCACCGTAGCTTGAATAAAAACAACGAGTAGGATGACCGTACTATGTTTTCTTCACTCGATGGCTTACGTCATTCCACATCATGCGCAATTTCTTCAAATGATAACCGGGCAACCGCCGGCAACTTCCGCGCGCAACTTGAAGGAGTTACGCCACAGTAATCCTGGTGTGCAAGTGAGGCCTCTTTCTCACCAGTTCGGTTTTCGTATTCCGATGTAGATATAGACTTAAATTACATAAACTATTATGTATTTAAAAAATTGTACAGCACTGCTTTAGTTAACCATTTCCATTATGGGCTAAGTCAAAAAATATAAATAAATAAATGTGATGAAGGTGACATATAAACAAACAAGCAAGTATTTAAATGAAAATGATAATGAGATATGACGGGGTTTTACAACCATGATACCCAACCATAAACATCCCTATCTGATTTTACAAGCAACCAAAAGGATGCCTGTCGCACAAGTGCAATGACCTTCTACAGTAAACAAAGCTGACAGATCTGGCGCACAGCGGGCAGTTTAAGGGAAAGACATGGTTGCCATATACCAGAATAGCCCAGTATATGGATGAGAATGACAGACCTTCTGAGCAGACTAAAAATTTTAAATTAACATCAGTCTATGTTCCTGTCTATATTAGTGAGCTCACTAGAACTTAATAACAGTGTAACATAGCTATTTATCTATTTAGTTCTCGTACCATAGCTAAATGAGTATTTACCACTTACTTAATGCTATACATTCTTATTAAAAATAACTAACGTATTTGTGGCTATTTTTCCAGCAGCTACATGTAGTTTACGCTCAATGAACTAATGTGTGGTCATTGAACTACTGGTATGGTTATTGATCTGTTGTGTACTTATTGAACTGCTGTGTGGTTATTGAACTAACAAAAACAAAAACGGGGCAATGCGAGATAAACTTGACAACAAAAATTCTTAGAGAAGAGTAGGAGCCTGTTAATCTCACTCTCTTTCCGCCTTTTTTTGTTTATTTCCATGGCGTTGCTGTTTTTCACATGACGTCATCAAACTAATCAATTATCTTTCCACATGAGTTTTTACTTTACGTATTAGTATGTGTAAAATTCACGAGTATACCATTTGATTACCTATTATTATGGGTGACGATTTACGCTCACAATGGTTGGTTTTTGTCATGTTTATCAAATTGATTATCGGTCGAGAACTCTGCCCACTGAAAACTTTAGAGCTTAAATTTTGGCTTAAGTTCATAATTTTCAGAATTTTTTAACAAAAAACCTGTTGTCATGTGTTAAGGTTTTCTAAAGCGTCTTGTAATGCCCTGGCATCTTCATTCATTCATTATTCCTCGACGGATAACACCCTCCTCGATCTCCAAAATTCTTCATAACATACTTAGCCTCATTCATTAACTGTTAATTAATTTTGTAACAAAAAAACCTTTTTACCGGTTTCATCGATCTTTCACCGTCATGCGTTACCAAAGCTTAAAACTGAATTTAATTTTTTATTATTATCATTTTTTAAAGAATGGTTTCAAACAGAGAAAGAATTCACAATTGTTTTTGAAGAAATGTCCCCGCAAGAGCTAAACAAATCCCTTCAAGCTTTATCTGTAAAAACTGCAAACCCGAATTTCAACGGGAACAGCTTTTTTTTTACGTTATGGCTCAGTCAATTCCAAGCTTGCCCATCCCGCCCCCCGGGCATTTGTCATTTTGTTTTGGAAAAGCTGCAAATGCCCCACGATGGGGCTCAAAAATATAGTGCAAATTCCCCACCCTGGGACAACACCAAAATTGTATTTTCCAGTAAATAAGCTGAAAATACCATTTTTATGGGAAATCTCTAATAGTCCGATCAAAACGTGTGAACCCCCTACGCAAATCGCCCCTAGCCGCTAATTATAATTATTGCAAAAAATAACGCATCTATTTGATTAATATCAATGACAGAAATATAAACTAGAATTTTAACAATACCATTCTTATTTTTCGAAGACGTGAATGATATACAAACAACCGATGAGCTTAACATGAGTAAGCTTATTTTCTCATCACGATGGAACCGTTTTGTCAGCGTATTTAAAAGTTGTTGCATTGATCGTACAACGTACGAAGTTTATGTTAGCTTTCAAATATCTCGCAAAGTTTTTCTAGTCCTTTCTGGCTCAACCATTCACGCACAAAAAAAGCGTCTTTTCCTTTAAACTCTTCAAACGATGCATTTATTGTTTTTCCTCAGGAGCCGATTAGCTCCTGTTTTCCTCCATGTGCGAACTGATCACGACGGCGACAAGCAAACGGATGCAAAAAAATATTGTGGGATAGGGAAGTGATGGAGCGAGAACCACAAATACCTCTCTACCTCTTTAAAGTTATTTAAATAAACATATATTTTTTTTAAGTGAAATATTGAAATAATAACTACGTTAACCGCGTCTAGAAGAATTGACAAATGCCTCACCCCCGGGCAGAGGTTTTCTGACAATTCCCCACCGCCGATACCAGGCAACATGACAAATGCCCGACAAATGCCCAGGGGGGATGGCCACGCTTAGAATTGACTGAGTCATTACGAAAGAAAACCGAAAAAACATTTTTCTCGCAACCAGGAGCCCATCAAATTTGATGGACTCCTGTCGTAACTTAAGCAAGTTTCGCGTCGCTCGGAGGTGAATAGCACTGGATATCCAGAGCATGAGAGGGTGTGAAAAACATTATCCACCATTTTAATACGTACTAAAAATCAATATTCAAACAATTTTTAAGTCGAAAGAGTTTTCCTTTTGTGATACAGTGCCTTGAATTTCTAATAAGCTTTTGAGTGAGGCGGCATTTACATGGAGGCCGAGAGAGCTGTCAGGTCAAAAAAAGTACCTTATTTGGGGAGATTTTGCTATCTGGACAATTATTGTGTTACAAAAAGTATCACTTTAATTTTTAAGAGTTTCTCGACGGATGAATTCACGCTTTCAAAGCAAAACTCAGTGACAGATGTTTGTGTTGAGTTCCGGCCGTCATGTTGGTGTTCATCCGTATGGGCACCAACATGGCGGCTCCACACACAGCACCAATCAGAAGCCAGAACGGCGGCGACCGTTTGGAACTGGTCTTGTAAGACATTGTCCCCAGGGGCTCTTCTGGCCGTTCTTTACTTTTCTTCGTTCCCTATATATTTTTCCGCCCGTTTAGACTTTCCCTCGCCCCCTTTATCTGCCCCTTGGTCTCCGAGGATGTGAGTGACGCTGCATTTACGTGGCGGCCGAGAGAGCTGTCAGGTCAAAAAAAGTACCTTATTTGGGGAGATTTTGCTATCTGAACAAAGTATCACTTTAATGTTTAAGAGTTTCCCGACGGATGAATTCGCGCTTTCAAA